CAGATGCCCCCTCCCGGGGCCATACGCGCAGCGGTTCATACGGAGAGGCTCCTCTCGCTTTACGCTCCGCAGCCAGCGCCTCAACTCTTGCAGGAGCGTAGCTAGTCCTTTCACGCTTCTTTCAATCAGCCCTTTAGTCAGCTGAGCAGCCAGCTTGATCTTGCGCTCACTGTGATTGGGCAGGCAGGCTTAATGCGCTAGATAAGCAAGATTCTAGTCCTTAAAGAACTCTAGCCAGCCTGTGCGCTTAAACTATCCTGTCTTGTTAGTCTTTGCAGCTTCTTCTAGTGTTTGCAGCTCTTCCTTAATTTCTTGTTGTGTTAATCTGTACTCAGCAAGCTGTGCCTAGACGTGGGTTTCCATCGCAGCGTCTTCAGGATCTCTAGCATCTATAAAACTAACAACAAAGTATTTCTGCAGTCCTCCAGTGCAGAAAAAGCTCTGCACCTTCACAGTCCTATAGAGCAAGCTTTTCTCTCCTACCCACGCTTGCTCATGATTTCGCTTGCAGTGCTTGCACATCTTATCTTTGTTAATTGTGATCTAGCTACATGTCTCGCACTGCGCACCATTAAGCAGCTTTCCTAGCTCTTCTATTGGCTGCACAGGCTCTTCTAGGAGCTCAATCGCGCTTAGAGCAACAGTCTCAAATTGAGTGAAGCGCTCAAGTATCTTTCGCCGTAGCGCAGCAGATACAGCATGATATTTGCGGAGATGCGCATCAAGACTCACAACTGCTGTACAGTGCTGCTTACAAACAATAACGCCAAAGCCTTCAAGAAAGCAGAAAACGTTATCAGAATTGCTGAGTGTGAGCTGCTGGGGCCATCTGTGGGAGTTTGCAGTGTTGTTTTCGCTGCTGCCTGAATTGTTTGCTTGGCTGTCCCACACAAGCTCCATTGCGCAGAAACCCTAACCCTACTTACTATAAGTTAACAGCACTAAGTTTTGCTAAATAGACAGACAAAACGCTCAGTGTTGCTGCGCAAAGTATATAAGAATTAAGTTTGTATAAGATATTTTTTAATTTAGGCCTAAAGTAATAGCGGGTTAGTGGTGTTAGGGTAATGTGGGGGACCACCAAAGCAGATCGCTTAAAAGGGGTCAAACCCTAACGCTAAGCCTCTTTTGCCGTGGTTTGGTGTCCTCCCCGCGCCCTTATCTTGGCTAGGCCCAAAGTAATGGCGGGTTGGTGGTGTTAGGGTAACGCGGGGGACCACCAAAGCAGATCGCTTAAAAGGGGTCAAACCCTAACGCTAAGCC